TGCTCAACAAATCTCACACTAGCGAATCAATCTTCGAAAAATCTTCTTTCATTTGTCGCATCTACTTGCATCGCTCATCATCTTTTTGCAGGAAATCTTCAGAATCGTCATCAATCTTCTTTCTATCTACTCAGTGTGCGAGCAGCTAGTCACAGCAAAACACAATCTTTTTTGCATCGTAGATAGAGTCGTCCCCCTCGTTTCATACCTAGGAAACGACTGATCTCACCGCAGTCCGTCATCTTGAACGTCGAACTCAGGGCTTTCTTCAGATTCACAATCGTTTCAATCTTCCTCCCAGCGGTGAGCAAATCGTCCACATACAGAATGATATAAATTTCGTCTCCTGGTACCACCCGCACGTAGAGGCAGTGGTCGTGCAGCGATCGACGAAATCCCAAACTCAGCAACCGATCGTTGAACTTTTCGTTCCAGCACCTTGGGGATTGCTTGAGGCCGTACAGGGACTTGAGTAAGTGGCATACTGTATTAGGGGACACTGCAACACCGTCGGGAACCGCCATGTACACTTCCTCTTTCAGGTCGCCGTGCAAAAACGCCGTCTTGACGTCCATTTGATGGAAGTTGAAACACTGTTGCACTCCGACCGCGAGAATCGTCCTGATGGTGGCCAGTTTTGCAACAGAAGCGAATGTCTCCTCGTAATCGACTACAGCCTTCTGCAGGAATCCTTTCACCACCAGTCTCGCCTTATGTTTGCCCGCATTGCCGGCCGAATCGTCCTTCAGCCGAAACACCCATTTCGATTTCAGAGGCTTCACTCCCTTCGGACAGCTCGTAAGACGCCAGACCTTGTTCTCCTCCATGGAACGTAACTCATCTCGTACCGCAGCCATCCACATGGCTCGGTCAGCACGCTGGGGCAGTTCATCAAACGATTCGGGTATATCTGCGGAAATCAATTCGCCAGAAACAGCTCTATAACCGATAAAGTAATCAAATAACTTACCGGGGAGCCTGCGCTCTCGTTCGCTATGCCTCGACGACAATTCACTAGGAATTTCGCGTCTTTCTGTGGGCGAAGGGAGCGCATTTTCTGGTTCTTCAACCGGTTCTTCAAGATCATCGTCGGGTTCTGCTTCAATTCGATTGATTTCAGATTCATCATTGGCTTCACGAATTTCATCTGTGGGGGCCGGCTGGCAACGTTCCCCCCTTGCTCGAACGGGAAGTGGACGGTCAATGGGACATCGTCTTCTTGCTGCATCACAGCGTACGGGAAGGACGACTCATCAAACTTGACGTCTCGAGCAATCGTAAGCTTTCGAGCCACCGGGTCCCACACGCGGTAGCCGTTCGGAGCGTACCCAACCATGACCATCTCCTTGCTCTTCGCATCCAACTTACGCCTTTGCTGCTTCGGAATCTACACGAAACTCTTGCAGCCAAACACACGAAGTTTGTCCAGATCCGGTCTGATACCGAACCACATCTCAGCCGGGGTAACACCAGAGGAAAACGCACTTGTTGGGCTTCGGTTCATCAAGCAAACGCAGGCGAGGGCTGCTGTGGACCACAGTTGCTTCGGCACATTGGATTGGATGAGCACGGAACGGACTTTTTCAACCAAGGTTCGGTTGAATCTCTCCGCTACACCATTCTGCTGTGGCGTGTACGCAACCGTTGTCTCTAGCTGTATCCCTTTTCTCTTGTAGAACTGCATCTGATTTGTGGAACAGTACTCTCGTCCCTGGTCCACCGTCATTCTTGAAATGGACTTTCCCAGCATAGCCGTGACCTTTGCTTCGAATTCCTGAAATTTCTCGAATACCTCTGATTTGCGCTTCAGCAAATATATCATCGAGAAATGAGTATGGTCATCGATGAAACTGACTATGTAACGAGAACCATCTCATGCCGGCGGATCGATCGATCCGCAAACATCAGAATGAATCCGCTCCAGCGGCCGGCTGGCCCTAGCTCGCGTTCCGTTGAACGGTTCTCGTCATTGCTTGACTTGCACGCAGGCGTCGCAGAAATCAATTTTGGTTGTTTTTTCATTCATACCTTTCAGCATTTCTTTCCGGGCCATGGTCTTCAATCCGCGTTGGCCGATATGCCCCAGTCGACGATGCCACAGGTTTCCGATCGATACTTCGCAGTGATTCGCTTAAACGTCCTCCAACGACAGCTCAAGCTCGTACAGGCTGCCTCGAAGGTGTCCAGTGGCCAGTAACTTACCACTTTTCTTCAGAACTGCTACGTTTCCAGAGAACAAGACATCGATCCCAGCATTGGCCATCTTCCTGGCGGATATCAGGTTTTCACGTAGTTCTGGAACGTAGAGCACGTTCTTTAGACTGAAATGTACACCTTTGTTGCTGGTCACGTTGATTTCGCCAATCTGTTCAGCAAGCATAGCTTCTCCTTCCTTGGCGACCTTGATCTCCACGCGACTGGTCATATTCTTCAGGGCAGCAAAAACGAACTTGTCGCCAATCAGGTGGTCACTGCACCCGGAATCAAGCTTGAAAAGGATTCGTCCAGGCCGCTTTTCCGCAATGTTTGCATCGGCCATGAAACTGATGGCATCCTTCTTCGCTGAATTTGCTTCACGCTGGCGACAATCCTTTTTCATGTGGCCGCGATGCCCGCATTTGTGGCACTTACCGAGGAATTTCTGGGACTTCTTTTGGGATCTTAAGTCACCCGAGAACGCTGCCGACTTGTCTTCAACTGAATCGCCCTGCCGGTCGGATCGCTTCCTTTCATCAGCCAATAGACGCTGCTTGACGAGATCCAAATTCAGGTCTTCTTCCGCGACGTTCTCCAGGGCCGTGACTAGGGGATCGAAAGAGTCTGGAAGCGTCAAGAAAAGCTGCGACACCAGATCACTTTCCGCCAGAGTTGCTCCGGCCGTCTTCAATTTTCTCACGAGCCCGTCGAATTCAAGTAGATGCGTCCGCATGTCCCCTTCCTTCATCCGCAAACGAGCCAACTGCTTCCATACTAACATTTGGCTCGCGACAGACTTCTTCGCATAAGCCGCCTCCAGACCTGACCCACATCTCCTTCGTGGTCGCCTTCTCTCGAAAGATCTCGAGGCATTCGTCCGACAGGCAACGCACCAGCAACGCCTTGGAGATCCGGTCCGTTTCTTTAAACTTCTTCTTTGCAGCTTGTTCTGTTGGAGCCACCTCGGTCAGCACATCCGCGACGCCCTTGAACGGAATGTTGCACGAAACGTCCTTCGCGGTGGTGCCCATAACCAGGCATGGAAAATCATCTGCATTCATTTCGTGCATTCATTTACATTCATTTGCCCGTAACTTTTTTATAAACAGCATTCCGCAAAATATTGTATGGAACTTTTGTAGGTTTTGCTATTAGCTACAATATTTGCCCATAACTCAAATCTGTATCTCTTATGCATGACGAACCAGAGTGAACAGAAGCCACTACTGTTTTTCAATGAATGTATTTTACATTCACTGAAAAACAGTAACAAGTTCTGCCCACTTTAATTCGTGATGCACAAGAGATACAGATTTGAGTTCTGGGCAAAAGTTGTAGCTAATAACAAAACCTACTAAAGCTCTATACATCATTTTGCGGAATGCTGTTGATGAAAAAAGTTAGAGGCAAATTAATGTAAATGAATGCATGAAATGAATGTAAATGATTTTCCATGCCTGCCCATAACCTCTTGTAGGGACAAATGGGAGACTCCAAACGAAGTATACGGTTTTCAGGAAAAACGGAGAAAAGTTTATTTAAACGTCTGTACTACACGAAGTGCGATTGTGGAATGAACAGTTATTAAATTTCACAAACAGGTAACGGGTCGTTGCCAGGGAGGGCTTCCCAACAACGTAACAGGGGAAAGCGATGGTTGATTGCCTACTACGCCAACAGTTTATTTGTTTTGTTTAACACATTTTAGGTTATTCGTGACTTACCCGGGGGGAAATTTGAGCTCAAGTCTTTCAGCATGAGAAGCATGGATGCTAATCTTTTACGCCAGGCCCGTAATCAGTTTAGGGGGTATTCCCGATTTTTTTTTTTCAAAAAATCAAATTTTTTTTTCACGGTTTTTTGTACTTTAGACTATATACTTTCATCCCCCCAAGCCGTTTTCCGATCAGCGAATTCGGTGTCCAGGCATAGCTGACTAATGGTAAGAACCCCCAAATGGTTTTAACTAAAGTCAAAACTTTAAACGCGTTTTTCTCGAAACCACTTTTTTTTATCGGGCGAAGATTTTTCTCCGAAACTATAAGAGATATTGAATTGAATCTTTGCGCATTTTGTTCCTTATTAAATTTTTTGAAGCTTCTCCCACTTTCAGCCAAAAATATTAACATTTAACATTGTTTGAAGCACCTTAAAGCTGCAAAAAAGCGGGCTAAAAATCGCCTGTTTTTTCATATGGCCGCCATTTTGTTAATTTGCAAGATTTTTTGCTGCCAACGGGAGAAGCTCCAGAGAATCTTATGCAGATTATTAATTTCATCACGAAATCTGTTTCAGATGAAGCCGTTCCAGAGAAAAGTCTTCGCCCGTCCAGGCGTTTGCGGCGAACAGGGGTCTGTTTGCCGCCATTTTGTGACGTCAATAATGTCTTTTTTATGTCGAAAAAAATTTATTTGTAAACTTTAATGTTCAATAAACAAGAATCCCAAAGAGTTTGGCGCATTACTATTCATTTTCCTTGAAAAAAAAATTAATTGAAAAACAGGCCGAAAAAAGGCAAAAGATTGGGAATACCCCCTTAAATATTATAAATGCAAAATCAGTAGTTTCATTGAAAGCAGGATTAGTTTTTTACAGTGTAAAATTTTGCTCTCATTTTTGCTGTGTTAATCGTTAAGTCAACCAAAATGAGATCAACTGGAGCATCAAAAATAAGTTACATCATAACATCAAATTTTGATTTCAATTTTTTTCTCGGGCTAAGGTAGTAACATCCGGGCAAATCTTAGTTTATATATTCCTGCTTTCATGTGATTCCGTATAATTCTTCATTGTTCCCTTTTCAGCGGCCGGTGGCACCATTCCCGTTCACTTTTCGGACTTTGATGCCCTGCAAAATGGAACGCCTAAGAAGAAGATAAAGTAATTTAGCATATTATCTACCTTCCCACTGTTGGAGGAAAATCATAACGTTTCGTTATTTCAGATTTCAGAACAAACGAAAGCAACACTGGCAGCAACAGCAACAGAAGCAGCTTGGCAATCAACAGTCACGAAGTGGCGGGGGCAACTTGGCCAATGGTAGTCCCCATCAGCGCCAGTTCCGAGGTGCGGAGCAGTTTCCTAGTCAGAGCCACGAATTGCTCGGTGGCGGCGGCGGCGGCGGTGGTGGTTCGAAGCGAAATCGCACCAGCAGACGACCAATTTGGAGGAGTACAATCTACAGTGCTTAAGGTAGGACGTTTACGTTCGTTTTATTTCTAATTCACTTGGAAAGTGTATCGCCGAATGTATTCTTTTAACGTGCTACTTTTTGGTAAAGATCAAGTAGTTTGATGGAGGCAGTTTGCGTGTTGTTGTTGTGCAGAAGTGTGTCCATTTAGAAAGCCCAGTTAATTGAAAGGAAAACGACTGATGTACATTTTATTCGTTTTATTTCGTAATTGTGTATATTTTTTTTTAACAAAAGTTATCTCTAAGATTATTGCATAATTTAGGTTATTTCAGCAACAAATTTTCAAAATACTTGTTATCACATGTTTCGTAACGTACTAAACGGAAGAAAGCGTTTGCTTGCTAGATTAGGTCACTGCCATTCCCCTGTACGCTTAGGAAGTGAATATTCAAACCAGTTGTCGAAGCAAGGGTTGATGCATTTCGTTGATGGAGGCTGCTTCTATTGCCAAAAAAAAGGAGAAAAGAAATCTGTTGTTTGCTTTATGCTCTGTGACAAAAAGGTAACAATTGCACAAACATTATTTAGAATTCAATCAATGGTAGCGTTACAATGACGAACGGTGAATGCCAATAATCATGAGTATTTATTATAAACATAATTTCTTAAGGATCAATCGCGTATAACCAACCATTTAATTAGTGCAAGGGTTGTGCATGCTAAGACGACAACGCTACAGTATGAATCTAGGCGTTTTTTGTTTGTCGTGTTGCGTTCAGCAAGAAATCTCGTAGCAGAGAAGATCAGTTTAGCATTTTTGGGAGCATCAAACAGGAATTTATGGAATATGCGTATTAATTGGAATGTCGCCGGCCGGGGCAGCAGCTTGTGGATGATTTATACTAGAGAGCTGCCGTCGCCTTGACACTATATATGAATAAAACAGTAGATCACATACCCACTGCGACGGTGTAGTTCGTTCTGAAACGTATCCGAATTCCGATGGGTTAAAAATCGTTGACATAAAATAGGGCGTTGCGAAGGAGAAACGGTTTTTTCTTCAACTGTGTGTTTTGTAGTGGAATCAACATTATCTAAACATAGTTAATAAAGTTTTTGGTGAGAATAAATACGAATATCAACATTAAAATGAATTCCAAGGGGCAGACTTTGCTTAGCGGAGCACTTAGTGCAGCGACAAACCTCTAATAGCTCTTCATGGTGCTGCTCTTAAACATGATATAATGGTAAACTGGAAATATACTTGCAACCAATAGCAGATTCAATGTTCCAAGTCTTTAAACTGATACGTTGTTCTAACATTTCCTAACGTAAATGTGTTTTTTTACTTTGGATTTTCAAAAAAAAAATCTAAATTTCTTAGTCTTCTTACTCTGGGATCTAATTAATATTTCAAATAAGTTCTGAGGAGAGTTTCTAAAGAGATCGGAATGCCGAGGGTATTGAATTTTGAGGATTGTTCCAAATTCAATGTATGGCAAAATAGGGGAAATGTATGTAATGTCGGCCTAAGTGTCCCTAATTTGGGCCCATACATAAATTCAGCAATCAACTAAATTTTCAATAGCAACCAAAAATATCCATTAGTACCGTCTCAATGACGCGTTCATCTAGATACAATTGATAAATAGCAGATTTTTAGCGATGCGCCCAATCTTAGATCCATAGGCCAACATTAGAGCCATTTCCCCTATCAAGGCAATTCTATAAATAATTTTATTTGCATTCTGAAGAAACTTCCAAGGGAATTCTAAGAGTATTACCAAGGGACACTCCAGCCAACACCGAAACTGATGCTGAGACGTGCTCCGCTGCTGCTACTGCTGTTGTTGATAATTTCGTTGCTGCTGTTACTGCTCACTCCGCTACTGCTGTTGCTGCCTCCCCAACGGGACAGCGGTCATCTCAACTCGTCCAAGAAGTGATTGATGTGAGTGAGAAAATTCTCAAGTCACCTAACCGGGACCAGCGAGAGATCTCCAATGAAAATCAACGCACCCGTAAACATCATTCGGAATCTGCATTCAAACGACCGGGATCACCCAAGACTACCGAAAGCAAGAGGCCTTCCAGGTCTAAAAATCGTCATTAAAATGGATCTAAAAAGCTACAACATTTGCACCATAAATATAAACAATATTAGAAACCCCACGAAACTCGCTGCTTTGCGAACATTTATACGATCAGCTGACCTTGACGTAATATTCCTGCAGGAGGTGGAAAATATGCTGTTGGAGTTACCTGGATTTGACATGATTTTCAATGTGGATGAGCGACGAAGGGGAACTGGAATTGCAGTCAAGCAGCTGCTCCAATACCAAAATGTGCATCGTAGTCTAGATTCCCGTTTGATCTCTCTCTCCAGATAGGGCAGGTCACCTTTGTGAATGTTTATGCTCCATCTGGTTCACAAAACAGAAGTAACCGTGAAAGCTTCTTTAATTCCATCGTGCCATTTTACTTGCAACGGGCATCTACCTAATTATATAATATTTGGTGGTGACTTCAATTGCGTGGTGAACGAAAGGGATGCAATCGGCTCCGGTAACCAGAGTCCAACGTTGAAACGATTGATGACTTCAATGAAACTCACCGATACGTGGACACATCTGAATGGAACTCGAGTAGAATATTCATTACTGCGACACGATTCTGCGTCACGATTGGACAGGATTCTGGTAGGCGCAACCATGCGGGGATGGCTAAGGAATGCTTACTTCTGCACTACTGCTTTCACCGATCACAAGGCTTACATCGTACGGATAGTTTTACCGGACCTTGGCACATCAGCTGGTAGAGGTGTGTGGAGTCTTTTTACGAAAGTTCTGGACGAACCTGAAGCACTCCCCGAACTTGAACGAAAATGGATATACTGGGTCCGAAACAGAAGGCATTATGCAACATGGATGGATTGGTGGATCACTTTTTGTAAGCCGAAACTGATTTCCTTTCTTAAATGGAAAACATCGCTGCTCTTCAACGATTTTCGTGGAACCATGGAAATTTATCAAACTCAGCTTTCGCACGTGGTTAATCGACTTCCTGGAAATCCACACGAACGTTCTAACATCAATCGCATCAAGGGACAAATTCTTCAACTACAGCGAAATTTCTCAACAAAGCTCCGAAGGAACAATTCATCTTATATAGGTGGTGAGCAGACAAGCCTGTTTCATCTAAACGAGCGGTCAACACGCAAAGCACGAACAAGCATCAACTTGCTCGAACTTCGAGATGGCAACGTTACCAATGATATAAATGAAATTCATGCTGAAGTCTCCCGTTTCTTCAATCAACTGTATGCTGCTGGTGAAACCTCTAATACTGCGAGGTTTTTGCCGACTAGGAGTATCCCATATCCCATATCGAGGAAAACATATCGATCATGAGAAATGCTGAGGAGGAGGAGGTCTTCGCTGCAATTAAATCGAGCTGCTCAAAAAAATCCCCAGGCATTGACGGATTACCCAAGGAATTTTACCTGAAATGCTGGAGGATAATTTCGAGGGAATTCACACTTGTAATAAACGACGCCTTGTCAGGTAACGCTCCCAAAAACTTTCTTGAAGGTATATTAGTTCTTGTACGGAAAAGGGGTAACAAAAAAGATATGTCCGCCTTTCGTCCCATTTCTTTGTTAAATTTTGACTTCAAAACGGTCTCGCGTATCCTGAAGCAGCGCATGGAAAAACTTGTTCCACTGGTGCTATCCGCTGATCAGAAGTGTTCGAATGGCTCCAAAACTATCTTCGAAGCAACGACAAAAATCTGGGATAGGATATTAGAATTGAAGCACCGGCATCAGAACGCGCTGCTAGTTTCGTTTGATCTGGACCACGCGTTTGATCGCGTTGATCATTCATTTCTTCAGCAAACAATGTTAAGAATGAATTTCAATCCGGCACTAGTAGAACTCATCAAAAAGTTCATGGAGAATTCTTTTTCGAGGATATTAGTGAATGGTCATCTAACTCCCGAAATCCACATCCAGCGTTCGGTCCGTCAAGGAGATCCCTTGTCAATGTTACTTTTTGTACTGTATATGCAACCTCTATTGGACGTATTAAGGCGAGCTTTTCCTGGTGTGATAATTAATGCTTACGCAGATGACATCTCGATGTTCCTGGAAAACGAAGGAATGTTAGTGCAAGTCTCTGAGCTGTTCACAAACTTTGGTGAAGAAGCAGGAGCAATTCTCAACCGAAGCAAAACTGTGGGTTTAATGATAGGCAACATCAACTTAACTGAAGCTACCGAGTGGCTCTCAATTGAGAACCACGTCAAGATCCTAGGTATCTTTTATTGCGAGAATACCCGAACTGCCAGAGATCTCAACTGGAATTCGATCTTATCGGGTATGAAACAGCGGATTTGGGAACAAAGTCTCAGAAACTTGCCACTTACTCTAAGAGTGACACTACTAAACACGTATGTGTGCTCAAAAATGTGGTACGTGGCCTCTATCGTGTACTTGCCAAAAAACTACGAAGCTCGCATTATAACTGAGCTGAGAAAGTTCCTGTGGATGGGGCACCCTCAACAGTTCAAGATCTCCTTTCAAAATCTTACGCTTCCCAAAAACCGTGGTGGTTTAAACCTACACTCTCCAGCGATGAAATCAAAAGCTCTTCTACTGAATCGATTGGTAAAGTCATTGGATCAACTTACACTGCTAGCCGATTTTCTGGAAGGATCTGGTAATCCACCGAACGTCCCAAGTATCCCTGCAGAATTTCAGCACGCTAGGTTGGCATTGCAGGAAATGTCATATCTCTTCTCCAATCTTTTGGAGAACCTGACGGCGAGTGGTTTGTACCAACATTACCTTTCGCTGCTTCCGGATCCACCGACCTTCACCGACTCGCAGATAAACTGGAAAGCGGTCTTTAAAAACATTCACTCCAGCCTGCTTCCAGCTGAGCAACGGTCAGCGTGGTATCTCATGATACATGAGAGGATTCCCCACAACCAGCTTCTTCATCGCCAAAATCCAACAATCGACCCATTATGTGCCTTATGTCCAGGAGAAATTGACACTATCGTTCATCGCATTTTCAAGTGCACAAGGAGTCGTAATGTCTGGTTCTATCAGAAGTCTTTATTAGCTCATCTAGACCCTAGGCTTCGTCGCATGGAACCAGAAAAGTTTATGTATCCAGTCTTCTCAACATTTACAAGAGCAACAAAACAATCTTTGATTAAACAGTTAGTGTCACGTCCCTCGGACGGTACGCACCTACCTTAACAACACCTTGTCTTCATCGACCGTTGGCATGACTGGCGTTAGGGTCGATGAAAGGCAATTTGACAGGGAGAGAGAACAAGCAAACTGCTGATTCATGCAAAGGCCACGGTATCGTAGTAAGGCAATAATTTAATCTAGTGCATTTAGATGTTTTTTTGAGCTTAGTCAGTTACGATTAAAAGTGGTTAGTTGTGAAGTGATGGATTATTAGTTGCATACGATTCATAAATTCCTATTATTATTTATCCTACAGTTGGTTTATTGATTATTCTAGAATTGGTTGCCCTAGAATTTATTACCCTACAATTGGTTATCCTACAAGTTGTTTA